AATGTGGGGAATGTGGCAAAAGGTTCAGACTGAAACCACTTCTTCAAATTCACCAACTAATCCCCAGAGAAAGGCCCATCCCTCATACGGCGAGTGGGAAAGGGTTCTGTAGGAAACCAAGTCTTGTCGAACCCCGGGGAATGAATACAGGAGACCGTCTGTAAATGTACCGAGTGTGGGAAATGCGGCAAGCACTGAGCAATACTGGAAGTCAGGCCCTAGGCAGTTAGTGTTAGGCAAGCAAAAACTGTGGCCCATAATTATTAATGCTCCAAATACAAAGCACTTCATAGGGCCTAGATCCCAGCAGGTCTGTTGTACTAGAAATACATGGCTAGCGGGCCGGCTGCCTTCAAAGTGAGTTGTGGTGCTCAAAACCCCTGACACTTTGGCTCAGTCTTTGAACTTCCCCAACTCCCATGTATTACATATGGAACGTGGAAAATATATTCCAGCGGGTGATGGGTTCGTTAACAGAAAACAGACAAGGAAGCCTCATGAGGCAGAGGGGAATCAGTTCTGACTAACCAGTCCGCTTTCAAGCTATGGACAGAGGCTTTAGTATAACCATTTACTACAGAGTATTTCTCCCAGACACTCAACCCAGGAATTGCCATATCTGTTCAGACCAATGGTCCGTCCACTTGTGTGTCCTCTCTGCTACAATGGCCAGTGCCAGATACTTTGGAGAAGAGTGAGAGAAACCCTGTAATGGACAAGTATGTAAAAATGTGGCCATACTATGGAGGAAAATTTGTCCTAAACCCGTAATAGTTGGGTTATGCCCTGAAGCACAATCTTTTATCACCCTCATAAAAAAATCTGCCTTTAGATAGCTGTGGATGTTTGCTAATATACAGCCCTGTTTTGATTCTTAGCCTCTGTGATATCTTGGGCCAGTGACTTCCACAGGTTAATTACATGTTGTGCTTTTAAAACAAACAGTTTCCTTTATATATTCATATTCCTGTAAATAACTCCATCTGTAAATAAAACACAAGCACACTGCACTTTTTAAACATTCATTTTATATCCATAACAGCTAATGCAAAAGAACGAGAGGGTCCTACTGCTAAACTTGATTTAATTTAACGTAGAATTTGACAAACATAGCATGGGTGTTGGGTCTGGTTTGGTTTTTATTTAAAGCATTTGCGTTTATCACATGCACAAAATAAATTGTAATGATCCCTTGCCTGACATTCACACATGATTAGTTATGGTTTTTGCATTACTTATGCTCCACCAGAACATTAAAAAGAAACCCAGGCAGAGGCACTGGGAGGAAAAAGTCCCTTTTAAAGCAGTAGCTGGTCAGTTTTATCTCCTGGATATATTTACAGTAAAATTCATTAACATCAATGACCAACATAGAAACAACCACTTGATTATTCACCGACATTTAAATATTAGAAATTAGGTGACGTTAGATATACACAGATATATTTAAAATACAATTCAATACATTTCTCAACACATAATCCTTTAAAAAGTGAAGAACCCCCCCCAAATACACAAATACCAGATCATCCTTATTCCTGACTTGAGTTCGTATGATATTTATTTACATCCAGTTTTAAACCCAGAGATCAAAAGCTCTGACCCTTCCCCCCTCCACCCAGCCTTCCTTTGGCTTTGTAAGCAGCAAGAAGATCCTCTCTCTACAAACAGTGCTTGGGCTCGGAATGGCCAGAGATTTGGAAAAAGGAGCAGGCCCCAGCAGCAGCCATTTTGAACGTTCACGTGCTTGCTGTAATGTCATATGTTCACTGCTGGTGTGACAATGCAAAATGGCTGCCACACAATTCAGTTGTAGTGGAGGGGCTTAACAGGGTTAGGACGAGAAGGAGATTAAACAGCTAATGGAAAGGCAGGGGGTCCGGGATAAAGCAATTTTCCATTATGCAAACTGGCTACGGCATTGAATTCTGGGATGCAGCGGGTGCATTTGCAGTTCTGTTCACGTCTCTGTTTTGAGGGAGGATCAGGGGGTCCTGCCTTAAGATAAACTAGTACAGCTGCCAAAGAGCTTTCAGGTTACTAGAGAATTACCACCAGATGTTCGGGGCCATTATCACGCGCAAAAACAGAGCCCAAAAGATTCCAGACTGGACTGACACACACACTCCCATACCACGAGAAGGAAATGCCGCCCAATAGTTACATGCTTATACAGGACCGAGGGGCATTTCCGACCTCAGGGTCTGACTGATGACTTAGGCGGAGTCACTGCAGATTTATATTGGCATACTGAGATCAGATACTGGCCCTAAGTGTCTGCCTTAAACTTAGGAAAGTATATAGAGGGTCCGTCCTAAAGGCTCCATCACCTCACTTCAGCCCTCTGCCACGAGAGGCATTAGAGTCAGACCTAGAAATGGAAAGGAGGACTTGTGGCACCTTAGAGACTAACCAATTTATTTGCGCATAAGCTTTTGTGAGCTACAGCTCACTTTATCGGATGCATTCAGTGAGCTGTAGCTCACGAAGCTCATGCTCAAATAAATTGGTTAGTCTCTAAGATGCCACAAGTCCTCCTTTTCTTTTTGCGAATACAGACTAACACGGCTGCTACTCTGAAACCCAGAAATGAATCTGTGCTCACAGAAATGTTGGCATGGCAAACAGTCTAGTACCAGAAATAAAGTGGGGGGAGGTAAGTAAAGCAATATTCCTTCCTTGCACCCCTCAAATAGCCATGCAACAAGCATCATTTTGTCTGTCTGTCGTTATTAGTATTAATGATTCATAATAATAATGACTATTTTGCATTTTCTGCCTGTAAACACAGTGTGGACTCCCTGTAATTCAAAAATGTCAAGTTTTGAAACACCGTTCCGCTTAGTAATTTCACTGACGATTCCCTCTGTTTCCTGAAACCGCAGAGATTCAGGGCCAAATGATCTATGGCCAGAAACTGAGGCAGCTCTGTGGATTTCATTGGAATTGACCCTCCCTGTCCCTCATAGACCTGAGCCAAGCACGGTAACATGGTACAAACCCTAATGGCTCTTCATGACATCTCTCACCCCCATTTCACAGAGAAAGCAGTGGAGGTACAGAGTGGTTAAGTGACTTGCCCCCAGGTATCACTGTCAGCGCCAGGGCTGGAACTCAGCTGTTTCTAGTGGCCTAATCCCTGGGCTGTGTCTCTCCCCATGTTACAGGACAGCTAGAGCATGAAAACGGCAAGAACTTAGCGAGACGTGAACAGCAGCGTGATGGGGGAACCCACCCTGTGTTGGTCTTTGACTCTGCAGAGGCTGCATGGCCAGGTCTGCATAGAAAACTGGTGCTCATTGCTGCCCCCGATAGCTTCTCAATGCTCTAGGGACACAAGCATCTTACCACTGACTTCTGTTACATTGGGGACTAGTTTAAGAACATAAGACCGGCCACACTGGGTCAGACCAGTGGTCCATCTAGCCCAGTATCCTGTCTTGTGACAGCGGCCAGTGCCAGATGCTTCAGAGGGAGTGAACTGAACAGGGCAATTTTTGAGTGATCCATCCCCTGCTGTTCAATCCCGGCTTCTGGCAGTCGGAGCTTTAGGGACACCCAGCGCATGGGGTTGCCCAAGAGCAGCAGTGGAAGCCCTGTCTCTGGAATCACTGAAGACTGGCCTGGCAAAGGCATGGAAAATATGGAACGGGGAACAGCTTTGTGTTGTCCGCTGGGATAAACATGATGTGATTTAACTAGGTCCTTCTGTCGCTGACTTTTTGGATTCTAAATGGAGGAGAATCCCAGTAAAATGGGTGACGTCAATTGCATTTGGATATTACAGGTTCATATAGCTGGGAGCCAAGAGACATCTTGTCATCCTGTGTCCTAAGGGTGAGTGAAAACGCCCTAACACTCTGCTAACCTCCTAGGGCAGGGATGGGCAAACTACGGCCCGCGGGCTGGATCCCTAACGCTCTGCTAGCCTCCGAGGGGGTCTCCCACAGCAGCCTTGTAACAACAGGAGGCCGTTGATTAACATGCCTGCCTAGCAGGGGTAGGGGAGCTGAACTGGCCGGACCAAGCAGGTCCTGTGCAGATGGCACCCACACCAGGAAACGGTGGCTGTATATTGTCCTGGGGCTGGATGTCCTCCATTGGTAAGGACTGATGCCGAGCCTGTGCTGTGTTTGGGAGTAGCCCTTTGGCGACACGTTGGCTGAGAGAAGACTCCACAGAGAGGAACATGTGCAAGGAGAGATGCCGGGAACAGAAGGGGGCTGAGGTAGCTTTAGCTTGGTTGTTGAGCAAGTTGAGGTAGCTTGTTGTGAGGTGAGCAAAACCTAAAGACGCGCAGGGTGCCAGCAGAGAGGCTGTGAAACAAGTGCTATGGTGCCCACACGGAGAGCCCAGCTGGAGGACCTAATGCATCTGCAGTGCACAGCCGGCCTCCCAGAGAGCAACAGGACTCAAAGACACATGCCCAGGAGAAAGAGCAGCACCCCCGACCTGGCTAATGTTTGGTAGCTCAGGCAGAGGGCGATGCAGGTAAACTATGACTGAGCCCTTCCTTGGGTGGGGTTTGCAGTGACGAGGGCTTTACAACTGCCAGAAGGAGAGAGAGAGAGAGAGAGAGAAGTTAGGGACGCCCAGCCTGTGTGTGTGGCTCGCTGCAACGGAGGAGGTAAAGGATAGAGACAGATGGAAGGTATTGACACTGTGCGAGAGGAAAACTCTCTAGGAAACTTGACACCGGTTCGGTTCGCCAGTGGGGGGGCCGAGCTCACTGCTGATCCTGCTGACCAGGACTGTCTCATTGTTTCCCTGTGCTCCCTGCCTGTCTGTCTGCAGCTGTTTGTTTTCTCCTCTCTTAGAAGTAAGCTCATTGGGGCAGGGATGGCCTTTCTGTTCTGTGTTGTACAGCGCCTAGCCCCTGGCCTAGGACCAGATGATTCTGCAGTACAAAGCAATAATCAGAGCAGCAGGACAGGACCATGCGTGTGCTCACACCAGTTTGCAGAGAGGCCCGTGGGGGTGCCACGCTCTAGCTGGGGTAAGGTACGGTGCTTGGCTGAGTGTTGCCCACCTAGGACCCTGTTGGTGTTGCCAGAGGAATGCAGGCCTGGCTGAACAGGAGCCGGCTCCGCCAGCCTCCGACCGCGTCGGCTGCTTCCCTCCTAGGCCCCGTGCCCTGCAAGCTGTGCACATGTGCGTGCGCACACAGATCCCAAACCCCGTGCACACGGCGACACACCGCGTGCACAGCCATTTGCACAGAAGAGATTTTCTGCGCACACGGCCTGTCAAAAATTGAGAGGGAACATTGCTCCCAGCTCTCCCTGGGGCTCAGCAAGGCCCGGCCCGGCTGGCTGCATGGCAGGGCCCCCTCCGCCAGGTGAGTCCACTGGTGAGTGGCCAGGTTGGTCGGCTGGTGGACGCCCTTGAGGCAGCGGCAGGGGGGCTCCCCGTCCCCGGGGCGCGGGAGCTGGGAGTGGCGGATGAATCCCTTCCGGCCCTGGGCACTCCGCTAGGGGCGCTCGCCGGAGCGGGTGCGCAGGTGCGGCACCAGGTTGGAGCGCAGGATGAAGGTCCCCCACGGTGCGCACCGCTTGACGACGCTCTTCCCGCCCTGGGCGCAGGCGTGGGGCTTCTCGCCCGTGTGCGGGCCCGGGGGCGCGGGCGCGGCTGCTCCTCTGCCTGGCTCTGCTGGCGGTTCGGCTGCAGCCCGGAGGTGTCTTCGCGCCCGTCGGGCACAGCTCCAGAGCCAGCTCCCCAGGGGCCCAGTAACCCAGGCTGCCCCCGCGGTCCCAACTCGCTGCAGCTGCTCCAGCCCCACTGGACACGTGCATCACAGCTGGGGAGAGAAGGGGCTTCTCTAGGCCGCTCCGCAACCCGCTCGATGGCGTCCGCTTCTTGGTCAGGGCCTAGCAAGCCGTCTCCTGAAAGGTGCCAATACAGCATGGTGCCACCGAAACAGCCCAGCCCCCGCCCCTCACTGCTCAGTCCGCACAGTGCAAACGGCCCTGTTGGGGGCGCTGTCCTGGGGCTGGAGGACGCTTGGGCAGCGGGGGCAGGTCAATCACTTGGGGACGTCTCTCTCTGTCTTACACGTTCATGGGTAACCACAGCGTTGGGGTGGTTGTGGGCGTGGCCAGTCCTTTGGTACTAGTTTGTGTGTCACGGCCTTGGTTCTCAGAGCACTGTACCGCTCACCATGTCCCACTACAAATCAAGCCCTGGGCGTCCTAGGGGGAACAGCGGGCACATGGTTCCACACCACGAGGATTTTGTCTGAGATGCTGGGTGCAGATTTTATAGTAGCCCAGGGGTGGCCAAACTTACTGACCCTTCGAGCCACGTACGACAACCTTCAGAAGTTTGAGAGACGGGGTGCACCTGCTGGGGCTCGGGGTTTCAGCCCTGCTCCTGCTGAAGCCCCGAGCCCCAGCAGACACACCTCCCCGGGGCTGAATCCCTGAGACACCCCCCTACCCGTGGGGCACAAGCCAGAGGCGATGCATGGGGGGCACATGGAGGCACGTACCCCCCAGATATTTGCCAGGGTTTGCTGGCCCTGCTCGGTCACATGGCGAGACCTGCACAGCAGCGGCTGGAGCCAGCACGTGGAGCTGCAGCTGTGGGGAAAGGCAGCGGAAACCAGCTGGGAGCTGCAAGGAAAGCTGCAGTTTTTGTGGCTGACGCTTCCCACAGAGCTAAAGCAGAGGCCCCTCCCTGCAGCTCCCAGCTGTTTGCCGTTGCCTCTCCATGGGGAGCTAAGACCCCCCTGAGGAGAAGAGAAGGGGCATGCCTGGTGTGGCATGACTCAAGCTATTGGAGGGGGGGCAAACCTTTAAATTGTGCCCCCCCTCAGCAGGCACCAGTCATCTCTGGCAGAAGCCCCTAGCCCTACCATCCGCCGCAGGACAGAAGCCCTGAGCTCTCCTCCCAACCCCCGTCTGGTAGGCAGAGAGTGGGAGAGGCTTGGGGGGCTCTGTGAGCCTCACTTTAATGGTAAAAGAGCTGCAGTTTGGCCACCTCGACGTAGCCTGTGCAAAACCTTCAGGAGAAGAGAAACGGACCCCACGTCAGATTGGCCCACAGAACCTTGTGAGCCATACACTTACCCCCAAAGTGGGTCTCAGGTGCAGGGTCCTTGGGATACTGGACACAAGCCTCTCCCCCTCGCTCCATCAGGGACACGATGCCAGGTCTGGGGATCTGGAATCCTTCCCGAGAAAGACGATGACAAGCTTTAGAGTTCAGATTGAGGAGTCTCTGAGAAACTCAGCAGAGCTTTTCTCCGAGACCAGGAGGGCTAGAAACTTACTTTTTCTTTTAAGGAAAGCTGAGACTCTCATGTAATCACCTGATTCCAGGAGTTGGGGCTTTAAGAAGAACAGCAAATATCACAATATGAATGATAATATCACGCGAGTTGGTGACACCGGCTCTTTCTTGAGACACCCTTCTTCCACAAAGCCTTCCACACAGTCTGACCACTTATGCGCCACAGTGGGAGTTTAATTGGGGGACATTTCGTTAAGCTATCGATATATTTTTTTATTTCCTTGAATGTCACTGGGAGGAATGTGAGAAGGAAAGTGTGTAATTCTACACCTGCATTGTAACAGACCCAGGGCCATCTGGGACTTCACTGTTCTAACTAGTTTGCTTGTCACAGCCAGCTGGAATCTGGGGGTGGGATGATTCATAGATTCATAGATATTTAGGCCAGAAGGGACCATTATGATCATCTAGTCTGACCTCCTGCACAATGCAGGCCACAGAATTTCACCCACCACTCCTAAAAAAGACCTCACATCTATATCTGTGCTATTGAAGTCCTCAAATTGTAGTTTGAAGACCTCAAGGAGCAGAGAATCCTCCAGCAAGTGACCCGTGCCCCATGCTACAGAGGAAGGCGAAAAACCTCCAGGGCCTTCCAATCTGCCCTGGAGGAAAATGATGCTATGACATGGCTCCCCCTGCTCCGAAATCACAATCTTCTACTACCTGAGCTAAAGGACAATCTTATTTAGCTGTTAGCAGTATGGGGCCTAGGACACACAGTTGGCCAGTTCTAATCTCATCCACTAGAGGGAAGTGTGCACCTCTGCACCCCAGCCAGTTCATTACAGTGTAACACAAAACACCGGCAAGTCCTGTCCAAAGTAATGCAGGAGGGAGGAACCGGGTACAGGGAAGGCAGATGAGTGTCTTACCTAGAGAAAGCACAGTCTCCAGGTTCTCCTTCATCACCTCCTTGTAAAGCTCCCTCTGCCATTCTGCCAAAATCTCCCACTCCTCCTCAGAGAAATAGATGGCAACGTCGTCAAACGTCACCGGGACCTGAAAGAGCGACGAGTGCACGTTTGGTGTGATTAGTCTCATTTATAGAACAGCAGCACCCACCCGCGCATGGGCCCACACTGGGACAGGGGCTAAACAAACACATGGGGAGACACAGTCCCGTCCCCAGGAGTGCACAATCCAATTTTAAGACAAGATACGGTTCAATGGACAGAGGGCTGGGCTGGGATACAGGAGAACTGGGTTGTGTTCCTGGGTCTTCTGCTGACTTGCTGGGCGCTTTGTGCAAGTCCCTTCTGCTCTCTGTGCCTCTGTTTCCCCTTCCATCAATGGCCTGTGTTGTCTATGAGACTACGTCCCTTGGGGAAGGGTCAGTCTCTTTCAGCTGGGGCCTCTCGGTGCTCTGAAGGACTGTACTATCAACAGCCGGCGCGAGGCGTGATTGGCCCCGACGGGGGGAGAAGAGGGAGATGGCAGCAGGACGTTGGGCACGTCTCCATGAGTCAGACTGAAATCAGAGTTGCTTTTTTTAACTGCTGCCTTTGTCTGTTGGCATGTTTTAAAACCCCAGCTGTTGCCGGTTTCTGGATTATTTTTTTCAGTTCCCCTCTAGTTCAGTCCGGTGGCTCGTGGGGCAGTGAACCATCCAGGGGCCTTTCCAACTTGCCAAACAGATAACTGACAGTGGTGACTAAGGCAACTTTCCAGGGCATTTCACTCAAAAGTCTGGACCTGTGGCTGGGGCAGGAAGTAAGAAGAATCTTGTCTCCTGCTGAAGCTGCCGGGGGAATTCAGGGAGGCAAGACAGAATGATCAGAGCTGGAATTTGGCCAGGATGCCGGCCAGGGTCCCATGGCCCCATTACTTTTCAAAGTGGGAGGGCCTTTTTACCAGCCCTGTGGGTGAGCGATGCAGGGGGCAGAGAGGGGTGAGCAGGGGTGGGGCCTTGGGTGGCTCTTATCACTGCCCAGCTCTGGCTTCTCTCCTGGCCAGAGGAGGAATAGGGGGCAGGGCCAAGAGGGGAAAAGCAGGAGCAGGGGCGGGGCCATGGAGGGGGGCGGGGCTCCTGCACGTGTCCCACTTTTGCCTCGTGAAAAGATGGCCAGCTGACCAGTGCGGGCAGTGCCAAATGCTGGGTTTGCCGCTATGGAAGCCACGTCAGACCCTTCTGCCCCCCTTAGCCCTCTCACTGCAAGCAGGTGGGAGCGGGTGCAGAGCAGAGCAGAGCCCCTGTCTAGACACAATCCCAGCACCGCATTGGACTTTCGACTCACCACCATTGCTAGCTCCCTGTCAGAGGCCCTCTGGGTATCTCCCCCCGCCATCGTGGAAGAGGAGCTTGGAAAGTTTATCGTCTATGATGGAGATAGGCAAAACACTGGGTCAGATCCACCCCTGGGATAGCTCCAGTGAAGTGAATGGGATTAGAACAGGAATCCTTCTGGCCCTACCTATTCACTCCATGCCTAATAATAGGTCCCGGTTGGCCATTAACTAGATCGCATTCAACAAGCTTCCTTCCGTCTTGTCTCCTTACCACTCTCTTACCCTGATTTTTCTACATGCCCAAGTTGCTAGAGGGAAAGTGTTGGACTTGGGTCTGGAGGTCACCATCTGAGTGTGCGGGATGATAATAACCCTTGAGGATCCCTTCCCTATTAGAAACCTCGCTTTAGAAAGGATGGCGAGAGAGGGCAACAGATTTACAATGGACACAAAGACAGCATTTTTTTAAAAAAATGCAACATCTAATTAATCTGTGGAACTCATTGGCACAGGATATTTTTGAGGCCAAGAACTGAATAAGGTTCAGAACTGGTGAGAAAGTACAGGTGAAATTCACCCCCTGTAGGGACCAGCACAAAGACCAGTTACATCCCATTTCAGCCCTACAAGATCTAGGCACCACTCAAGTTCCACTTGTGCTGATCCCTTGCACAGGGTGAATTTCACCCTATCCAGATAACTGAGCTCTGCCCAGTCATGTACAATAAGAAACAATTTTGCATTGTCATGGATGGACTCAATTACATAACAGAATATTAAAAACATAAGAAAGGCTGTACTGGGTCAGACCAATGGTCCATCTAGCCACAGGCACTGACTTTCCAAAGTGCTGGGGGGTGCTCAACCTCCAGCTCTGCCCCAGGCCCCACCCCCACTCCACCCTTTCCCCCCAAGGCCCCACCCCTGCACCACCTCTTCCTGCCCCTGCTTCACCCTGCCCTGCCTCTTCCTGCCCAGTTCCGCCCTCTCCCCCGAGTGCACCGCATCCTCGCTCCTCCCCTCATCCCCCCAGTCTCCTGCACGTTGCAAAACAGTTGATCATGGCGTGCAGGAGGCTGGGTGAGGAGGCGCTGATCAGTGGGGCTTGCTGGCGGTGGGAGGTGCTGGGGGTGGGGTGGGAGTGAGCTGATGGGGGGGCTGACGGTGGGTGCTCAGCATCCACCATTTTTTCCCCATGGAGTCGGCGCCTATGTGTCTAGCCCAGTATCCTTTCTCTCACAGTGGCCACGGCCAGATGCTTCTGGCAGTTGGAGGTTTAGGGACACCCAGATCATGGGGTTACGTCCTTGACCATCTTGGCTAATAGCTGTTGATGGATCTGTCTGCTATGAACTTATCTAACTCTTCTTTTTAACCCAGTTATACTTTTGACCTTCACAATATCCCATGGCAATGAGTTCCACAAGTTAATTGTGGCTTGTCTGAAGAAAAACACCCTTTGGTTTGGTTTAAACCTGGTGCCCATTAATTTCATTGGGTGACCCTGGTTCTTGTGTTGTGTGAAGGGGGAAATGTTCGCTTTCTCCACCCCAGTCCTGGTTTTTTCGACCTCTCTCATATTCCCCCCCTCACGCACCTCTATTTTCAGCTGAACAGTCCCACCCTTTTTCATCTCTCCTCCCGCGTCTAATGTTTACGAGGCCACGGAAAGCGCAGTTTGTGATCTACCTTAACGAGAACGTGCCCTGTCCCTATTGCATGTAAAGCCCCACTCATGGCTTCAAGGCACCTTCCCAGAGCCAGAACACACTGAAGCTGTTTCTACCAGCCTGGGAGGAACGGGGAAGGGAAGGGCGTGGAGCTGTGGAGCAATGTGCATGCCTGTCGTTCCATGGCAAGTGATCAATAGGGAGAGAAGGCAGGGATGAGCATTTGAAGCCAGTGGACAGGTGGGTCAGAAAAGCCTGCCCTTGGCTGCCCACCTAAGGTAAAGCCTAGGGCCAGAACAGCTCTGTAGAAGCCAGTCAGGTCCCTGGGGTATAAGGCAACGGGGCTGATCCTGAGAAGGGCACCTTTCCCCCGGATGGTGCTGAGCACTCTCCGCTCTCTGTGCAGCTAGTGGGAGTTGAGGGAGGCTCCGTGCCCAGCAGAATCGACCCCCATAATAGGACAAAGACAGGGAAAGGCACAGCTTATGCTAGGGATTTATAGACAGAGCTGCCTGAGCTACCCGGTCCTTTGTCTCCTGTTGCTGGGCTGGAGATTTGTGTTTAAAACACAGGCAAAGGGAACACAAGAGTCTTGTCTCTCAGGCTGTCTGGATGGGGAGCGAGCGAGCGAGCGTGCGTGCGTGCGTGTGTGTGTGTGTGTTGTTTTAACCCTTGCGATGCTGGGGGGTTCAGAGGAATGGTTCCTGCTCATGCAGCCAGGTCTCGAGTCCCCACCCCCCTGCCCAGCATGGAAATTAAACACCAGGGAACATCAGCCATGACTCCCAGAGCCCTGGCCTCAGGCACTTTCAAATCAGATACCTACTGACATGTCAGACATGTTGCTTAATTTACCCCCGTCAGGGCCTAGCACCAGCCTTGGTCTGTGATGTGCTGGGGCCACGATCGACTGGCACCTGCCAATGTCTGAAAGCTGCCAAGAGAGGCAGACGGGGCATGTCTTTTTGCTCCATTGGACTAGTCGATCTGGGGGGGACAATGATAAACATATTGGTGACTTGGGGACTGTTCTCCTCAATCAGGGGTGAGGCCTGGGTGAGCTTGGGGTGTCCGGTTTAGATGGCTGGGAACGGCCACAGGGAACCCCGGGCACTGATCCTGTCCAACAGGGGACCAGTAACCACAAGCTGCTCGGGTCTGACCGCACACCCAACCCTTACCTTGCGGGAGAGCCCTTCAGACATGTCGGCAGGTGACGCAAGGTGTCCGGGGCTGGGAGCCGGTCAGCAGCCGTCACCCTGATCTGTCCACCTCGCAGGGATCCATCGCTCACATTTTCATGTGCCTGCAAAAGCAAGTTCCCAATCAGCCAGTGCAGGCTGCCCCCTGCCCCACTCCACAAGCTGATGAATACAGGGCTGGGGAAGATTAGCTGCCACAGCTCATAGCAAGGGCAGGGGATATGGGGAGGGAGTGGCCCTCAGGGCCAGTGAGGGGGGTCAAGCCGGGGCACCCCAAACAGGGCTCCAGAGGGTCACTGCTTTGGCTGGTCCAATCCCCCTTTGCCGAGATGGTCCTCAAATCAGAGGGGCATCTCCCTACATCAGAGCCATCTCCATTTGTAACAGCCTGGGAGGAAGGGGCCCTGTGGGCTGCTGCTAGAGGGGGACGCTGGGAGATGTAGTTCTGCCCAGGTCTTGCTGTGGGATGCCGGCGGCGTGTGCCAGCCACAGTCCCCAGCACAGACCCTCCCCGGCTTCCTAGGGGGAGAGGGGATAAATAACATCTCCCAGCAGGGCCTGGGCTGAGCGCCGGACACTGGATAGGGGAGGGAAGCCACAGAGGCACCCGTTCCCGTCCCACTCGCCCCTCTGCCGGAGCGGGCCATGGGGCCAGCGCTGAGCTGGCGGCTTGGGGTACATCTGAGTGTGTGGGAATCGCTCAGATGAGACTTAAATGCTAGATCCCATCTCCCCCGTGTGGACATTAACGAGCCTGGGGATAAGACCAGGGATTTGCCCTGATCTCCTGAGCTCATATTTCAACCCCACCTCCATAGGGTGCAATGCACTATTGTGCAGAGGCCTCCAGTTGTGGGCCTAGAAGTGTTGCCAAATCACGGACATTTCCTGCCTCAGCTCCCTGGTGCTCTGAGACCTCAGCACTACGAGGAACCCTTCAAGTGCCTCAGTTTCCCCATCTATAAAACAGGGCCGATGATGCTTACCCACCTTGTAATATGCTTTGGGACCTACCAATGATAAACGACCAGTGTCTCCAAACACAGTCAGGCACCTGAATACATTTACAGGCAGCTTGTCTGAGAGCAGTCTGATTTCCAGAGGGACCAAACCCATTCTCAGTGAGAGTGCTGGGTGCTTTGCTCTGCAGAAAGCCCGACCGATTGTATTTAGAAGCTTAAATATGTATTTAGGTGTCTAAGATGTTGGTACACAGGTTTGAAAATATTGGCGCAAGACTTTACTATCGCTGTTTTTCATATCTTAACCATCAGCCCCCGTGACCTGGCTTTCTGGTGTTCTCTTCACTGACCTGACGTTTGACTAACTTCTTGTGGTGATGAACCCAACACCCGATGCCCAAGCCCTAAGACAGGCCCATTTCCTCATTGCCTGGCGTTCTGGCCCCATTGAAGTCAGTGGAGGTTTTGTCATTGGTGTCACTGAGGCCACAGTTCCAGTCAGGGCTCTGAAGCTGCTGACCAAGAGTAACGGGAAAAGTCACCTGCCAAAATGCTCTTCAAATTCCAGGGAAGGAGCCTGCCGCTGCCTGGGATTTTTTACCCCTTTGACGTGTTGGCCTATCAGGCAGCCAGATCCGACCAGATCGTTTCATAGCCTGGGCTCAGCTAGTGGAATAATTTGCATCTGTGTATGATTTTGGGTGAAGTTTTCAAGCCCAACCCTGAAGGCCTGGGTGTGGCCAAACTCTCACTGAAGGCAGTGGCGATTTTGCCTGAACCAGGATTTGGCCCTCTGAAATTATGGACTTGATGCTTTTCCTCCAGCGAAGCCCACTGGGGTTTCACAGCTGACTCCACCATCAGCAGGTTCTGATCCGGCCGCGTGAGAAAGTTGTAAGGGAGACTCTGATATTGCACTAGGTGCGAGGTGACTCCGTCCCCCCACCAAGCCTGCGCCCTGCTCAGCCCTTGGGCATCATCGGCATAAGTAGCTGGGGAGGCTTGTGCTGGGAGCAGAGTCCCTGCATGCAAGGGCAGGTGCCATGTTCTCATTGCGTCCACACAGGTCGGCCCCGTGTCAAAGGGTGGCCCAGATCCCACTCCAGCTTAGGCTCCCTCTGGCCACCAGAGGCTTGGTCAGCAGGAAAACTTCCTGGAGATGCTGCTGCTCCCTCCCCACTTCCTCTGGGCCTGGGCTTGAAGCCCTAAAGCCGGCCACTCCCCACATTGGGCCCACTACGTGGGGAGGAGGGGGGGTCCTCACCCAGGCCCCAGTTCTCCATCCCTGTTTGTGGTCGTGTTGTGGTATGAAAAGAAGTGACTGTAAGCCATTGTTTCACTTCCCAGGCAAGTTAGAGCAGCCCTTAGGGCTGCTCCGCCTGCAGCAGCCCTCTATGGGCCATTTGTCAGCCATGAATAGCCAGAGCACCAGGCATTCCTGGTCATATTCCCTCCCTGTGCTGGACACGTTCCCTTGCTAGGGACTGTCTTAGAGCCCTTTCAGCCATTCAGTGCTGGCCAGGGTACCCTCTTATGCTGGACTTAGCTCCCTGGGGCCAGTTCTATTCAGTTTGTGGCTCCTTTCTGCTGCCAAAATGGCACAAGGGGTGTGAAGCAGACCAGAGAATCAGATCCTTGGAACAAATGTTCACGGAAGCCAAATGGGCCAGCCTGCAATCTCAGTTATGCTGGTTTAAATCAGGGGTGACCCCACCGGTGTCTACAGGGCATTTCTATAGAACTCCTCGCTACGGCAACCACCACTGCAGCGGAATTATTCCAGATGTAGACCCTGAGCTCACACTCTGGCCTCAGTTTTCACTCAGTCTCACTCCCCCTGGGAATTTTCCCATACAGCAGAACCTGGAGTTTACAAACACCAACCTGCTGAACGAGCGGTTACACCAACAGAAAAAAAGAAATAAACCGCCTAAAGGTAAAGTGATGTCAATGGCCAACATGTCACGATCCTTTCCCATTCCGATGTCTTCAGGCCACTGGAGACCTCCTTGCAGTGATTTGAAGGACAAGAAGAAAGTGACACAATAGACCATACTGCAACGTATGCACCAGCCCTGCTGTAGTTCTGAGATGTTCAGTTTTATGAACTCCTCAACCCCGAATTAGTTTGTCAGAGAGGAGTTCTTTTGTTTGAGATCTGAGTAACACCTCCTGGATTTGTCCCACTGCTTCGCTGCGGCAGGGGAAGCTCAAGGAACGGGGCCTTGAGATGTTTGTGAGTTTTCCAACCATGTTATTGTACCAAGGTCATTTTGATGGGTGCAGGAAACAAAGCGTGGCTCTGTTTTCAAACATCCCTACCAGACTTGGGGCGCTTGCAGTGTCAGAGTTTCATTTTACACCATCCTTATATAAACACAAGCCCAGATTCTGCTGTCAGTTGTCATAAACCTGCAGTAACTCCACTTGATTACATGCAGTTACCCCAGCCTGAAACAAGAGGGAGGGCAGTAAACCACACAAAGAATTTGTATCTGGCCACAGAGGAGGGGGAAAGGAAACAGTCACTGCAAAGGTGCAGTTAAGGATCCACAACAATGTTAAATTTCCCAGGTGTTTAATCCATAGGCAGTTCAAAAAGAGACCCAGTTGTAACTATGTACGTATTCCTTAAAATGGGGGAAAGGAATGCAAATAATTAAATGCATCTGCACATGCATTCTCTCCTCCCAAAGTTAAAATCTAAGGTTGTCCCATGCCGTCCGAGTCTGTGATCAAAGGTGGTTGTTAACCCATGGGGGATTCTTTTATCATTTCAGTCTAATGTTTCCACTTCTTCAGCGCTTGCTGTTAGTTTGAAGCTCTCTTGTGGGCAGAGAGACCGCAGTTCAGCTGTCACCCTGAGAGGCTGGTGCCTGCTTTTCCTGCATGATCTCGATGGGCAGCACCATTGATGCACCCTAGTTCCGCTTGAGTAGCAGTGACCATTTAATGGGGATTTCTCCAAGTATAAAATTCACATCCATTCCCAGACCGGCCTGAAAACTGGTGTTGTCAGACATCACCAGTGTGGTGCTAAAACTATCCAGGATTATCAACAAAAATCTTTCCCCTAGGAGCAGTAGGCAAGGGTCCCACAAAATCACCCTGTAAACATTGAAGGGGGCCTTTTGATGCTTGATGCATTAACTCTCCACGTCTTTTTCTTCTAGCAGGGTCTTGCTTAGCACACGTTAAACAGCTATGAATATGCAGGTTTACATCCTCTTTCATTCCAGGCCACCATCCCAGTTTTTTAAATTTTTCTAACGCCTCTTCCTGTTTTGGGTGACCTCCCACAGTTGAACCATGGACCCATCCTAAAAGGAGGTACTGCATCTGCTGAGGGATTACCAGGACCCATTCCTTTTCTGGTTTTGCCAGAATTCGGTCTCCCTCCTTTCTCAACGGGACACCCTGCCACTGCTACTATCCATTGCTGTATTAAGTCATCTTTTGCCTGCAGGTCCTGTAAAAACTGTAGCTCTTTCTGGTTTCAGAGTAGCAGCCGTGTTAGTCTGTATTCGCAAAAAGAAAAGGAGTACTTGTGGCACCTTAGAGACTAACCAATTTATTTGAGCATAAGCTTTCGTGAGCTACAGCTCACTTCATCGGATGTAGCTCACGAAAGCTTATGCTCAAATAAATTGGTTAGTCTCTAAGGTGCCACAAGTACTCCTTTTCTTTCTGGTTGTTTTCTTCCCTTTCTTGTTCTTGTTTTGCCTGAGCCCAGGTGATTACTGCAATGGGTGTGGGCTCCCACAGCGTTTCAGTGAGGGGTGCTTCCTTAGCCACTTTATCTGCTTGTTCAATTTCCCTTTTTCAATGGACTTGTTCTCTTATGGGCTTTTATTTTAACCATCCGGATCCTCTGATACTGCCCTGCCAATTTCTCTATTTGCTGCCATAAGGTCTTGTGTTTAATTTTGGATCTGTCAGTTCCTGTAAAACCTACACTACTCCACCATGGTAGGTAGATGGTGGTTCTCTGGTAAACATAATCTGAATCAGTTCCTATTATTAGCTCTGTTTGCTTGTTCTTCATTCTAGCTAAAACTTCTAAGACCACTGACACTTCTGCAGACTGTGTTCCCCCTTTGCTCAATTTGTACTGGAAGAAGTTAACTCTTTGCAGGTTTCCAGTTAAACAAATCCCTGCAAAAACCAGTGACTCGTTTTCCTTCAGAGTAATATGAGCTACCGTCCACAAACCAAATGGTTTTTCCAATCACCTGTTCAGCTGGGGTTGCTTTAAAGACAGGGTGTGCTTTGGATTCCCGTTGGGGGGGGGAGGGGGTTCACAAACATGCTCTTGATCGCTTATAGTCAATCCCCATACAGATATTTCAGGTTCTTTTAGTGGGACTAATCGAACATTCTCGGACATGAGAGCAAAGACCCATTGAATGGCCTTGTCTCCTCT